ATACTGTTAACATCATAGGTCCACTGTTTGTACCTGAAAGTACAACAGGGAAGTTACCAATAAAACTTTAAGTTGTGGGGAAAAAGTACTTATGTAATACATGGATAGCTTGTTTTGCCAACATTTAGGAGAAAGACAACTCAAACATGCTTTCATTCTAGAAAAGTAGGCAGAACAGAATTAAAAAAAAATCAAATAGTGATAAAACTCACTAATCAATGCAAGCTTTGGGCTTCTACAATTACTAATTTTTCTGCTAATATAATTATGAGTAAGCACACTTATACTGAAGACCATATTTACTCAGTTTTATTTCAAAGCAGATTTTTGGATATCTGTGAAAATGACTTGATTCTCTAGTATAGCAAAACACAAGCTATAGCAGGCATAGGGGAAATATCTGGTAATTCCAATAAAGTGACATTCAAACATGCCAGGTTTTGTTAGGTCATTTCTGCTTCATATTCATTTTATTTTGTCAAGCAAAAAGGCAGATTCCTGCTGTAAAGACTACAGAATTCCCTTATTCTTTTAGAAGTAGTTGGTCCTTATTCCCTAAGGTGTGGAATGGGCTGGAAATAAATTAGTGAAAGTTGAATACAATTTAAATGATAGTTGCATGTAAGATACAAGCAGCACGTTCCCTAAATAAATCGGACACTTAGAATCAGACACTACTTGATCTTTTCAGAGGCCAAATATCATGACTTTACAATTGATAGATTTTTCTTCTCTAGTGAAGCTTGTGATCTTTTGTAGTGTTGATTTACTAAACACCTAGAAAAATAATGCTATGATCCACTTTTCACCATATAATCCCTGTGATTGAAGGCTTCCCATTGAAATTTAAAGTATTCATTGAGAGAGTTGGAGGGTAGTGTGTCAGAGGTTTAAAGTTAATAAGGGATGATAATATGCTGATGATTTTAAACAGCACATTATCTTAATCATGATTTTAAAAGCCTTTACAGGAAATTCCAGCTCCAGGGGGTGCAAAATGCACCCCGCTTCTCCAACCTTATGACATAAGAAATGGGCGCAACAGTACTCTTGCTATAAAAGCCTAACTGGAGACAAGGCCACTTTAGCTTTTATAGCAAATTAACTAGACTATACCAGCACTGCATCTCCAGCCTGCTGTTTAGTTGATCTTACTTAATCTCACAGTAGATTTAAAATTCCTTATCTTTACTGTGCTTTTGGAGTGGGGTAAAAATGTAGGTTCATTATCTTGTGGCTTTAAAAAAAACACAGCTTTAAAATTATTTAAGGAAATGGCCTTAGATAACTTTAGAAGAAATTCAGGAGGCATTCAACAAGCCTTCTTCAGGCAGAGTTTTGGTGCCTGTAATACAGGGATGGGGAATTATTTTGGCTGGAGGGCCTCTTAATGGTTTTGGTGAGCTGTTGAGGACTGCACACGTAACATCTTACAACAAATTATAGCTAAAACATAAATCATATACTAAAAATCAAACTTCTACCATAACATTACATAAAAAATGTTATGTAAAAAATAATTTTGGTCCTGATTTATGTGTTTTTGAGTGGTATATACAGAGGCAATTACATAACAATTAAAAGAAGTCTAATTTTTGTATATTGTGTATAGGATTGTAGGGGTAGAGGGTGTATGTGAGGGATGGGTGTTGGGTGGGGGGGCGTACGTGTGTGTGTCAGGGAGCTGCCCGTGTGCTAGGTTCTGTGACCTGGCCAGGGGTTGGGGGAAGAGGAGTAGGGGGCACATGTGGGGGTCCATTCTCTTTATCCAGCCTGTGGCTGCCCCCTCAGTGCTCCTGAAGGAGCAGGCAGGGCTTAGCTCCAATCTGGGGCAGCCCACACCGTACTCGCATCCCCAGCCAGCCCAGGTATTGCTTGGCTCCCACCACCTCCAGCGGTTCCTCCTTCTGCCCCTGCTGTGCTGGTCTGGGCATCAGGTAGCACAGGGAAGTGGCAGCAGCCATGGAGATGTGTGCCAGGCACCACCCCTTCACCTAGAGCATTAGCCTCTTATTCTGCATCTGTAGTCGTGTATCCTTGAGTGTGGCATCGAGAGGTTGGGTGCTGGCGAGGAAGCTCCTGCATGACTTCAGACACTTGTGTGTTGAGGGATGATTGCACATTGGGTGTCTCGCATCTTTAGTTTGTTTCCATCCTTCTGTCCTACTAGCCACTGCTCTTATGATGTCAGGCAGAGTGATGCCATCCACCAGGTACACTCTGTTTGGGCTGGCAAGCTTCAGAAATCCTGTGATGTACTGGTTGCTATCATGAAGTCAAGGTGCTCAAGTATGGATCTCTCCCCTAAAAGGCATGTTACAAGGACGAGTTACAACTTATAACTTAACTGTATGTCCTCAGCTGAGAAAGAGCAAAAGGAGTAAATAGGAAGGGATTTTCCCTGGGAGTTACCCATAGGAGGGAGCCAGGTACAGGATGCTTGAACAGCCCATTAGTAGATGTGCTGGGTACTTTTTTTGGTTTGTTCTCTCTCTTTCACAGCCCAGGTGTCCTTCAGAGAGCAAAGGAGCCATAAATGGAGACTGGATCAAGCAGTTGTGACTTGTGTGGAAAGTGCCATGTTTGTGTTCCTCCCAGAGCAGGGGTTGGCAAGGTTTTTAGGCAGACTGCCAAAACCCACACAACATCAATTTGTAAAATGTTGGTGTGCCAGGGGCAGATGGCAGGGGAGCTGTGAGGGACCTGATCCTTGTTGTGGCAGCACAGCCCTGGCCCCTTTCTTGAGGCATGTGTGCCGCACAAAACATCTTTACGTGCTATGCTCTGGCACTTTTGCTGGGGGTCACCAATCCCTGTCCCAGAGGGTTAAAACCACTTAATCTGTACTAAGTATAAGCTGGTGTCTGTCTTGGAGGAAAAGATTGAAAGGGTGGAATCACAGGTGTGCAAACTATTAAGGAAAATGAAGGTTTCTTGAACAGGAGTTATGAGGGGCTGGTGCTGGAGAGGCCAAAGGGAAAAGAAGAGATGTGACAACATATGATTTCTGGAAGAAGAAGACTCCCCAGAATTCAAGAGAAACCTTCTGAAGTCAGCAACTGCTTTCAAGCATTGTGTGGTGAAAGGGCTGAGGAGGAAAAGGCAGAGGGCAGGGCATCAGCAGGCTAGAGCTGAAGGACGCAGCAGTCTGGAGAGCAGGAAGTGCAGCGTCCTAGGGATGGAGGCTCTGAGGCCTCTGCACCAAGAAGGAAGAGAAGAGCGATAGTGGTTGGGGGGGGACCTTTTGTGAGGGACAGAAAGACTCATTTGTTCTCACATGGGGTCTCTGGAGCCCAAATCCAGGGAAGCCTGCCACAGCTCATCCCTCCCTCAGACCACACCATAGCCCTGCCTGTCCACCTGGGTACCAGCCATGCTGCTAGCAATGTCACCCAGCAGGTCAGGGGACCAGTGTCGTAGCAAGGAATTTTGGCACCCAGGGTAAACCCACAGTGGCAGCCTGTCCTCGTCCCACACACACATCCGGGGGCACAGTCCCCATGCTTGCCTGAGGGTGCATGCGGCGGTGGGACCTGCCCTCCCCATCCCTATGCCCCCCTAAATGAGCTACTCACGGCTCTGGCTGGGCAGCTCTTGTTAGCGCCCCTTCACTTTGGCGCCTGGGGCGGTAACCTTGCTTGCCCCCCCTTGCTTCAGCACTGCAGGAGACAGTAGGAGGCAGGTGGACTGAGAAGCTTTGAGGCAAGTGGTCCCATTCGCCTTCCCTCGGGCCTGCAGCTCTTGCCCCTGCCCTGCTGCTCCAAGGCGGTGGTGGGGCCACTAGGCAGGAATGAGAAAGTCACTCAGGTGCAGGCCATACAGAGTGCCAGGAAGGCGCCCAGCAGTGCCCCTCAGCTGGCACTCTCCGAGGCCTGCTTAATTTATGGTGCTTTATAAATTTAAGCATTATAAATTAAGAGGTGCTTAATTTATGCCCACGGCTGGGCGGGTCGCTGCTTTGCTTTACTTGGCTCCAGCCTGGCTGGGCAAGGCTGCAGGCACAGCCCTGCCAGGCCTTAAATACGAAATTATTGTATTGGAAGCTTAAAATGATCAATTTGCTGAAAAACTGCAGCATGCTGACAAAATATGCCCATCAGCTGTAAATAAATCTTGTTGACTTTATAGCATTCACTGGAAACTGTCTGGAGCGAGGGAGAAGTGGGCCATCAAGGGGGAAGTCTTGCTCTATTCTGAGGCCAGCAGCCCTGAGACAGTGTTGAAAGCAAACCCAAAAGTGGGCTCTCGGCCTCTTGAAGCCTCAGGACAAGCGCAGTGGCTTCTTAACCTGGCAGGGGAAATACCATGCAGCTGTGCAAAAAAAGGCCCATGTTTTTACCTGTCTGTGAGCACGTTCTGAAAGTGAAATTTAGGTCCTGGCTTTTGACAATATGTTTCAGGTGTCCCGAAGAAAAACTGCAAGAAGGCAGTTTTCCGGAACCGCTTCACAGGAGAACTGCTCCTCTGGTGTGGCTCAGTACCCACCGAGGTGTGGCAGCTTTAAGCCCAGTTGATGGAAAAGGGAGTCTCCCCCTTGCTTATGACTGAGGGCAAGCACAACTTGGGGGCGAGCAGGATGCCGGCAAAAGGATTTGGAAACATCTGAAGCCCCAGGTGCGGGTGAAGGCTGCTTGTCAGTAGTAGGGCCACTTACGGTTCTGGACTCTTGGATTTGGAATGAGTTGGGGCCAATTTGGCCTGGAATACAAATGAAATGAAAAAACCAAAAAACCCCAAAGGGGGTTCAGGCTCCCCGACAGCGGCTTGGGCTTTGCGTCTGCTGATGCCCCAAACCCACGAGCTGCCTCACACGCGGTGGCAGTTTGAACGGGGGTTGCTCCCACCAGGCTGGAGACGGGCGCAGCGCGGGGCGGGCAGTGGCGGAGCGGCGGGGCCGCGGGGCCCCGCCCGTGGTCACTCCCCCGCC